ACCAAGAGAATCCTGCCTAGAGCGATCCTGTGCCCAAAGGAACATTCCAAAGGCTCTCCTAGTCTTTCTGTTACAAATAACTTCTTTATGTCTTAAAGAGCAGACATTTTGCTTCACCATCCTTATTGCATGACATTTTGTGTGTCTTTACCTACTAATTATGGCATGAAGTAGGTGCATCACACATTACAAATGTGGACAGTTGGAATTCCTGAGAATATTTGTCCAGTGTTGCTACGATTGGTAAGATGGGGACTTTCTAGACCTGCATGATTTTAGGTGGGGGTGCAAAAAGTATAAAGATAAATCTGTCTCTCTTTATCCACAACTACATTTATTAATCCATTAGCAGATGAAAGTAGAAAATCCTAGAAATGGGATTATTTTTCAGGTAACTGTCAATTTAAATACAAGCATTCTTGTGTCTGAAACACTAAAGAATTAATTGTGCTGCAGAAGTTCATGTTAAAGGGAGGAGGGCACCTTTGGCAAGTTGTAACATTTATAACTGATCTTTAGGAGACACTACAGATACCCATAGGAGAGGAGGTGAATAAGAAGTACTGTGATTGTGGAGTAGAGTCTTTGCATGTAGAAGGAGTTTTTCTTATCTGGAGAAGAGGAGGGGAAAGGATAGAGGTGCATGAGCTTTCCCTGTATGAAGGGGAAATTCTGTGCCAAAGCTCTAGCTCTCCTTGTGATCCTTTTGATCCCTTATTTTTAATTTTTGATAAACCAATCTTTTTTTTCTGCTAGGAAGATTTCAGTAATTAGAATCATTGGAAAAATAGAATTATTTTTGATGAAATTAACTTCATAGTCATCTTAAATAAAGATTTGATTAAATAAAAAGTCAACTGAAATTTTATAAAACTATTTTCCACAACCAGTTTGCACACTACTTTTTTTTGTGGATACTTTGCAAAAGAATGAGTTCTTTCTTTTTTTTTTTTTAAGATTGAGTTATTTCTTACCTGTAAACAAGGAAATGTCCCTTCATCCATTTCTATGTGGAAAACAAATTATGCCTGTTTTTCCATGCAATATATGTCTGGCATAAGTAGTAATATTGAAATTGATTAGACTGTTAAGATTGCAAAATGACTTTGGGAGTTCTCACTTATCCACATCATTAAAATGTAGGATGTGGCCAAGATGGGGCTTGATGTGCAAGAAATAAATTCACCTAAAGTGGCTTAAAACTATGTGTGAAAGCCAGGTGTCCTGATATTCAGAGTCACCTGTCTTTTGACACAATGCATCACATGTGGCAGATGGATAACCTGGGTTTTATAATCTTTTCCTCCCTACATGTCTGAGATACCACAGTGGAATCACCCATGACCTAATTCCATTCAGTTACCACCTCAGTCAACTATTGCTGTATAGCCATTCTCTATTCTTTGTAGGTCACTCTGTGCTGTCTGGTCACCAGACTCTCCTTTGTGCTGCTATTCCATTTCTGCTGCACAAGGGTAAGTCTGGGCCCTGCTTAAGTCAAATAAGATCGGGGTGTAGCACTGAGCAAACATCACTGAAGGTGTGTTTTGCAGCACAGGGAATTGCACAGAACATTGCAGTGGATCACGGATCCCCAGGGCCAGTGCCATGACCCTTCACAACAGGGGATTTTCCTGATACCTCTCTCCTGCACTTTTAGCTGCTGGCAGCCTAATTCCCCAGAGTGGGAATATCTCTGATAGGCCATCTCAGTTCTTCCTGCTAACTTGTAAAGTAAAGGCAAGCAAGTCAGCTCTAAACCTACTTGAATGTTGTCTAAATACCATGGTTGTATGTTGTTCCATTATTCTCTGTACCGCCTCACTATTCAGGGATTTTTCTGCAAAGATGTAGGGGACCCATAGAGGAAAGAAGGTTAGCCTCTGAGAAGCTGCTGTCATGTCACCACAAAAGAACATGGGGACGGAGAAGTCACAGACCCATGGGAGGAACAGCCTTGTGTAGCAGGCATCCTTGGCTAGGTAAGGTCACAGCGAGGGAAGAGGAAAGCCAATGTCCTTCCCTTTCTGCCCTCCCATATCCTGCCAGGCTTCCCCACTGGTCCAACCCAAGCTAAAGCGAGAAGGCACAGGAGCTCGTCCACATGGCCTAAATATTAGTCTCACAAGGAGAATGTGGTAGAGGGGCTGGAAGGGCAAAGGAAGACCTTTCTGGTACAGCTACTAAGAAGAATTCTGCAGATGAAACTGAGACTACACTCTCTGATCATTTAGAATTTTTATCTTAAACTCTTTGAAAGAGTTCTATTGAAGACATACAAATGGATTATTGTCATCACTAAAATAACTTTACATTTTAGTTTTAAACAATGGTTTCATCTTCATGTTTTAATTTTTTTTTCCCCAAAGACAACTGCAGTGTATCTTTTGTGCCACATAGAACCAGTGCTATACCCTAAGGTTTTGTCCCACATAGAACACTTCTAGAACATTACTCCACATTAAGCTGAAAAGCCTGCTTTCTTCCCAATTGAATCTGCAGTAACTCCTCACTTGTTGTAAGCAAGAGAATTCAGCAGACAGGTGCTGCATGACTTCTGAAACTCGGTCTGAAAGGAGGATGCAACTTTCTGCTTGCTTACTGGAGCCCTGAGCCTTCTGTTTAGTAGAAGGCACAACCTGTGGCTGCCATGCTGTGAGGAAGCCCATACGGCATGGCCCCGCTTCAGAAGAAGCACATGTAGAAACCCTGAGACCTCTTGAAGTAAGATGCTACCTTTGCCTGCTGCTTTTATCTGTGCCGGTCACTATGGGACTGAAGACTGAGACCACCTGACAGATTTCTTAACCAGAACCACTTGGCATGGTTCATATTACACTAATAGAGCACAATTTTTCATGTCTTTGGTTGTACACAGAGTCACACTATTCATGTCTTCCTACATGTACTTAAGGTAAAGATGTCCACTTGATTCCACCATCTTTCCTGTCCCCTATTATATATACTCTCTTCCCCTCACTCCCCTTTGCCATATCTAGAGTTTTTATATTCCTCCCACAATCCCCCATCCAACCCCATTATGAATCAGCATCCTTATATCAGAGAAAATATTCAGCATTTGGTTTTTTGGGATTGGCTTATTTCACTTAGCTTTACATTTTCCAACACCATCCATTTACCTGCAAATGCCATGATTTGATTCTCTTTAATGTTGAATAATATTCAATTGTGTATATATATTATATTTTCTTTAACCATTCATCTACTGAAGGTCATCTAAGTTGGTTCCACAATTTAGCTATTGTGAATTTTGGGGACAGGCTTACTTCACTTAGTATTATATTCTCCACCTCCATCCATTTACCTGCATATGCAATGATTTTACTCTCAAAAAATAAATAAACATGTAAGAAAATAAGAATAAGTAGGAAAAAAACTGATAATACAACACAAACTCAAAATTTCAATAATGACATTCAAATTAGTATAAAGAGGAAATATTAAGTAAAAAAGCAAATGTATGAAATTTAAAACATTTAGTAGGAATACAAAATTGTATGTTTTAAAATCAAATACATTAAATGTTGTATCTGAGGAAATTTTAATCTTTTTCAATGGGCAGATATTCTTTGGAATGGCATGTTTATGGTTTACGGCAATTTGCTAGCAAGAAGTTACCAATTGGGCTCTATGCTAACAGCCGGCAGCAGGAGGAAAGAAAGGGGAGAAGAAGTTAAGTTCTCCCTTTCCCAAGGGGTATTTCCAAAGGGGAAGGACCCCTTCCCAAGGAAGGGGTCCTTACCCTTGGGAAGGCGTTAACTTGCCCAGAACAGTGGGCAGAAAAAACAGCCCAGAAAAAGCTGCTTTTACGTGAACTTTTGTAGGCTGTAAACTTCTTCTTTTTTTTTTTTTAAAAGAGGGAGAATTTAAATATTTATTTTTTTAGTTTTTTCGGCGGACACAACATCTTTGTTTGTATGTGGTGCTGAGGATCTAACCCGGGCCGCACGCATGCCAGGTGAGTGTGCTACCGCTTGAGCCTCATCCCCAGCCCTAGGCTGTAAACTTCTGAACCCCTCCTCTTACATGCTGGGTATAAAGTTCTGAAACTACCCGAACTTGGGGTTCGCAGGATTGATTGATTACAGCAAAAGCTGTGTCCTCTGAACCTAGCTGCAGCCAAATAAAACTGTTTCCGGTTGTCTCGGTGCCTTGCCTCCTCTCTGCCTACAATAACTCCATCGAACATGAGTATATCATGAAGATTTTTTTCCAGCAGGATGCTGCACCTGGCAGAAGGGCAACCTCGCAGATATTCTCTCAATAAACCTTTGCTTGAACTCTGAGATGTCTCTAGTCTACACTAACAGGTGGATCAAAGACATGGGCATTAGAACAGAGACCTTGCGCCTACTAAAAGAAAAAGTAGGTCCATATCTCCCCCATGCGGGCTTAGGATCTGACTTCTATAACAAGACCCCTAAAGCGTAAGAAGTAATATTAAGAATCAATAAATGGGATGGATTCAAACTCTTTTCTACGCGTTAACTACTACCCTTTGCTTTCTTGTCTGCTTTGGAAGTAGTTTAAAGAAGACCCTAAAATAATAATAAAAGAAAGGGGAGAAGAAGTTCTCCCTTTCGCAAGGGGTATCCTTAAGCGTTAACTTGCCCAGAACAGTGAAAGAAAAAGCTGCTTTTATGTGAACTTTTGTTTATTTATAACACACGTGACTTTGCCTGCATTCACTGCGCATTGATTTGTGCGGTCACTGCGCATTGCTTTGTGCGGTCACTGCGCATTGCT